TCGAGTGCGTAACCAAATTTGTTCAATGGAAGTTGGAGAACAGAAATTCTGAGTGACGGCAATTGTAAAATCTATAGTGAAAATTTCTGGTTTATGAATGTTTTATTACCTAAAACATGAGTAAAAATTAATACATTACCTAAATTCATTACCACGTGATGCCATCCACCCGGTACGAACATTGTTTCACCAGGTCCCTGTAACACTTCAACCATTCCGTATTCCTCAGCAAGGCTTTTGTTTTTCCCCTCATGGACTTCAAGTAGCTTAGGAAGGACGCAACTAAACCAAGTTACAGCTTCATGATCCTTCTGCTTTGGATCAATTAATCTGCGAGGCGTGGATGGTGGAAAAAGGCACCAGCGTTTGTGCCCAACCAACAAAGTGTTCCACGCAGAAGTTCCTAGTGGGTCAACATGAATTCTATAGGGAAATATATTAATTAAAGTAAATCTTACGGCTATTAAATTAAAGAGTTATATATGACTTAAGAGTATTTTACCCAGTTCCACTTCTTCCTCCACCAAGTACAAACCAGCGATATGGAGGTCTGCGGTTTTCACCTGTAAAACGAAAGAGATCATCGTCGAAATAAGTAGGAACCTTGTAATCTTTCAACAGGCATTCCTTAGATTTCGGATTTAAATTTTTTCCTTCAGAATTGGCCTTTTTAGGCTTCCCACGTCTTCCAAAAGACGAATCAAAAATATACAATGGACTATCATCTTTTAAACCTTCTGTTTCTAAATAGTACATATAATATTTAAAAGTCATGCGTACAGGATTTCCTTTGTCATCTTCACCGATTTTGAATTTGTGACGGGCGTAATTTCGCAAAAGTTCCTATTAAAAGTTAGACTTCATATTCACAGACGTAATATGACACTTCGCATTAATTACAAATTTCAGAAACATATATTTCTTGACTAACCTCTTTGTTCCATTTTGTTTCTGCGGCCCAGCCTTTCGTACAACCGGTAATGACGACAGGTAAACCGGGATCCTCATATTTCTTTATGAATTCTTCTCGAGGAACTTGTGATTCGTCGATTCGGGGAAGTTTGTCGGCAGATGGCGAAATCCAATAATTGTTGTTGGCAAAACCATGCTTGGACCATTCAAAAATGTCAAGTTCTAATTTTGTGTAATAAACAATTAGATAACCTTTTTAAAAAAACATATCTGACAATTTTATAAAACTTATAATACGAAACATTTTAATCAACTTCAGCAGCTGCGGCACCAATCCTCAATAAGGACAATGACAAAACAACATAATACCCAAAATGGGCTTGAGCGTTTTACTAAAACAGGACGTTATTAGAAAAAAGATTAAATGATTTTGGGAAGGTTTTACAGAAAAAGAACGATGTCATATAGGAGGATAGATGTGGTAGGCAAATTTAGGCTTAAAAGAATCTATGATAAATGCCAAAATTGATACACCGGGCTAAAAGAATTCATAATAAGAAAAGAGTTTACCAACCTGAACGAGCACTTAGCTTTGCTTTTTTAACCTTGCGTTCATATTTTTTTCGATTGATTTTAGTAATATCGGTTGTTTTTATGCCATTTTTATTAGAGAGTTTCATAAGTGTATTTTGGTCTATTCGTTCGGAAGTGTTAAAATAAGTAGTTGATAGAGGCATTTTGACAACTCCAACCGGGATATTATCCATCTGTTGCAAATTGTCTGCAGTTAGGGCAGGCTATTTATAATTTTTTAGATCATATTCAACGTGATCTGATTGGATTTAATGAACGGGATCACCGTAGATCAGTTATAAATACTTTCGTCGACACGCCTACTTATTCTTTTTTGTAGAATTTGTTTCAATGACACTTCCTACACTCCCAGAAGAACTTAAATTTATTAATGGTTTCCTTCAAAGAGCCCAAGAATTACGAAACAGAGAACCGGTTATAGCTTATTATTGTAAGATTGAAGATCGGCTTGCACCGGAGTTGCTTAACAGATCAAACTATTTACGCGTTGTTGTACATTTTTTTTTATATTTGCACTTCAATAGGTAATTTTTATTCTGTAAAACTCGCTCTCGAAAAAGGAACAAAGAGTAAAGAAAGTAAAGCGTTTCTTGCCAGATTATTGGATGTCCTTGAAGAGGTAACTTTCCATATATTTGTTTTATGTTATCTTAATAGTCCTAATACCTACATTAATTGCTTTATCGGACTACCAGGAAAAAAAAGCACTTCATGACAATGAGGCCGTCACAAATGATGTTGTTGGTGAAGCGTATGTGGAGAATTTTGGCATAAAGGTTTTCATTAATGCAGATAACGAAGACAGGGCAGGAAAAGCCACAAAGCTAGTGATTTTATTAGATTAAATTATATGTTTTTGGTTTTCTTGAAATACAAAAAAAATTAATTACCATCATTCCTAATAGAAAAACAGCCAAGAACTTTTTGGCGGCCGCTGTCTTTTTAGAGCTTCTCAAAGTATTTGGACCACTTAACCCAGAAGTAAGTAATACATATTATATGATTATTTAAATAGCAATGACTTTTAACAAATTTTTTAGATCGAAGAAAAAATCAGATATGCAAAATGGAAAGCGACTGATATAGTAAAAGCGTTGAAAGAAGGCCAAACACCGGCGCCTGGTCCTCCTGGAGGTGAACCGGCCTTACAACCACCACTGAAAGAAGAAGATTACGTTGTTAATCCATCTGATAACGTCCCCAGTATTGACCAATTTCCTTCGGCACCTTTGGCGGTTGACTCACCATCGGTATCTCATATGGAAGAAAATGGTCTACAATTAATACCTGGATTTACTAATGACTCCTTACCTCATCAGCCTCCTTCATCATTCCCTAATAACCCCCCTTCATCATTCCCTAATAACCCCCCTTCATCACTCCCTAATAATCCTCCGCCTCCACCTCCACCTCCATCATTGATACCTGGGCTTACTAATGACCCTTTACGTCATCAGATTCCTTCTTCATTCCCTAGTAACCCTCCTCCGCTTCCCCCATCAATACCTGGGTTTACTAATGACTCCTTACGTCATCAGCCACCTTCCTCATTTCCTAGTAACCCTCCACTTTCCCAAAATTACGTCCAGCCTTATAGCTCTCCAATTTACCAACCAACGACTCCAAGTTCATTGCCCGCTAATCAACATCCGAGTTCATTGCCTACTAATCAACATCCGAGTTCATTGCCCATTAATCAACAGCATGTTCGCCATTACACACAATTCTCGCATCATTCAGTTGAAATCGATCCTAATATTGTAGCTTCAGCTCAGAAACATTGCAAATGGGCCATTAGTGCGTTAAATTATAACGATGTAAAAACTGCCGTGGAAAATATGCATAAAGCATTGGCAATGTTGGAACCTTATAATCACAAATAATGTATCTTTTTGAATTCTTGCTTAATCAAACGGTTAAATGATTAGAAAAGTTTTAAGCGGTTCCTTTGATTCATATTTTATTTGTTTTAAGCTTGTATTATACATATATTGTAAATTGTAGAAGCATTTCATGTTAACAAAGCTGATGTGCACATCATAACTATATCTACATACAAATACAATTAAATGAAAATGAATAATTTTTTTTGTTACGAATAAAACAAATTTGTATTGGATAATATTTGATTTTGACTATCCAAAACGTTTAGATAAGTTTTGGATCTTTAGGCATTGAACGATGTCCAAAAAAATTAATTAAACATCTGTCAAATTTACTAATTAAACATATGTTTAATTATCCAATTATTTTATCGTTATCGAATAAATTTAATAATATCGGGTTCCAACTTTTATTTCCTCAGCAGTCGCTTTTTTGGCGATAATTCTCCTGGCGTTCACTTTTTCGACACAACTCATTACTTTTTTCCGACATTTTTGATTTTATATTTTTATTTTCATTTATTTAGCATTTCTTATGTTTTTTTAACCCTTTTTTTTCCCCCTTATTTTAAATACTTATTTTAGATTAATAAATGTTGTCTTCAAATATGTGTCTATGAGAAATATCGATATGGGGGGAGTCAATAAGAAAGGAACAAATCATTTTTAGTAAAAATTTTTTTTAATTTTTAAATTGAAATATCTTAATTATCTAATTGAATTTGATAATTTTTCTTGAAATTATATAGCATTAAAATTTATTAAATTTAATTAGATAGTTGAGATATTTAAGTTTAAAGTTAAGAAAACTTGGAAAAAAATTTTTTTCTATTGACTCCATCCATGTCTTTATAATTCTGATAAATTTTAAATTTAGGCTATGCTGGCAATAAGTAAAATCCTACTACGTATACGTAGCAGATCACACTTGAAATAACCGAGTGAGCTGATATTTGTAAGCACGGAAAAAATAGCTTTTTGTTATAAATTCCTAATAAAAATATCGGCATGACTGCAAAAGTCTATATATATATATTAATTGGTTTTTATAACTTGACCTGGTCAAATTTGTTTTAATAATTAGGTGGGTTTTTAAATAAAAATTTTACATATGAAATTTAAAAAAAAGTTGACCAGTTGGATTTATTTAAAAGTATGTTATAAAAATCAAGACATTAAATTTGTAATCTCATAGTAATACAAGTATAATAAACAACCATGAATGGTGTAATAACATATGGGTTGCTGCTGGTAAAATACTTCTAACAAAAAAGGTTTCTTTTTTAAAAAAAATCGGAAATTTATATTTGTTACAAAAGTAATAGTGATATAGAGTGCATCAAGGTATTTTATTAATCCGTCAATTTTTAAGTATTTATTTCTCAAAAATTTCTCTTTATAGTTTGCAAATGTCTTCTTATCTACCGGAATTTTAAAGATCAAAATGATTACATGTCATTAGCTGCTGCTACTTTTTATAATCACATCGAACTCGTTGAATTCCTCTTGTCTCAAGATGTCGACGTAAGTTTTCCTGATCACGATGGCGGCACAGCTTTGCACCTGGTGGAAACTGTTGAAATGGCCCATTCTCCACTAATTCGGATGATAAACTGTACGTTTGCATTTATTTTAATAAAAAAAATTATTTGTCTTATCTTGATTGAACATTATGTGGCCATACTCCTGAACTCTAAAACTCGTGAAATAATTCAGAAAAATGACTTTAATGACTATGAACATGTGAATGGCGCTATCAATTGACTGCAATACGTAAGTACGTATTACTAATTTTCTTTTTTTTAAAAATTTTTGTGCGATGCTTTCTCAATTGTACAGTGCAGACAACCTAGTCTCGACAAATAAATTTGAATAACTTCAAAATGTTAATCCTTATTTATAAAAAAAAGTAAACAAAAAATCTCTTTAATAGAACATTAAAACCATACCAGTTAAACATAATTTTTAAATTTTTGGTTTAAATTTATTTTTTTTAATAAAATAGTGAGGCAATTTTATAATTAAACAAGCATTGGCCGCTTAAAATATACTATTAAACAAGCAAATTTGGCCACTTTACACTAAATTTGGCGCTCTATATGTTAAATCTGGCCACTTTATATATTAAATTGATTATCAGTCACAGAACATATTCTGTTACTTATTGGTCAAATAAGTTGATATACATACTAAATTTTATAATTTATATAAAAAGAATACTAAAATTTAATTTATTCAAAAAAAAAATATATACAAATTTTTTCTAAAATTTTAAATATATAATTTTTTTAACATTTTTATAATTATTTGTTAAAAGATTTGTTTTTTAATCAATTGTAGCTCAAAGTTAATCTTTTACTAAAAGTGATCAATTTTTTATTATATCTTTTAAGATAAAAATTTAATCTACCTAAAACATTTATATGATTAGTTAAAATAATTTTTTAAAAGTTAAAGAAATTTTTATTAAATAAAGGTTTCTTTGCTTTAAAAGATAAATCATCAAAATTGGCACAAGTTTTTGATTTTGGCCAATCAGAATATAAGATCAGATATAATATAAGTGCTGTCAAGAAAAAAATCTAAATTCTGGTTTTCAATTATATTTTGTATTTAGTTTATTCCTGAGTACTGTTTAAAAAAAATCTATTATTAAATTTTAATTATATTTTGTAATAAGTTATTACAAATATAATTGAAAGTCTAATGATAGATTTATTCTAGATAGTACTCAAAAAATAAACTGAACATAAAATATAATTAAAAGACAGAATTTTTAATTTTTTTTTAACAGCATTTATATGAAGATCAAAGCAATAATTGTTTTTTTTAAAAAATTTTATCTAAGAAATCATTTTTTAAATATTAACAAAAAAAATTTTTTTATATAATTTTAGTATATTATTTATTAATATTAATTTTAAACTTCAAAATATTATATTTAATTAAAAAATAATATATAAACTGGTAAATAATTTTAATCAATAAAAATTTAAAAAAATTAGTAAATACAAGATATTTGGAATTAAAGATATGAATATGATATCGATCAAAATATAAACTTTTATAATATTATTACAATATATTAAAATACTCAAAGCATCAAGATTTTAAGATGTCTCAAAGCACCAAGTTATTTCTGAAGTTTATCTTAAACACTAATGAGTTCAAGATTTTATTTGTGCTATAGCAATTCTCAAAAAACTATATTAGTATCTCTTAATAAAGATATTAACGAAAAAAAATTAGAAGAGTGAATAGTATCTTTCAAAACATCAAATGTAAAAAATAACAAAACAACAACTTCTAGCATTGTTGCAGTTTAGTGGACCAAAACACTAGAATAATATTCCTTACAAGTTTGCCCACTTTTGCAAAACTGAGAAAACTTTTAGTCATCTATATTTTTACAAACATGAGCATTCAAATAATTTTTTTATATTATGAAAGGGTATTTGCCTTTTAAAAGATTATTCAACTGTATTGTAAAGTTTAAAGAAACAATCTACTACAATTCTTCTTTCATACAAGGAATCTCTATAAAATATATTTGATCTGGTTCATCTGCATCCAATGAGCTAATGTTAGTTGCAAGGATATTATGCTTTGAAGAATGTGTCAATAAGTTATAAGCAAGTAAATAGCAAAAAAACATTTAGTTTTTTTTTAAATATGTATATATATATTATTTTTATATATATCAAAGTGTTTTTAGAATAAATAAAAAGTTTATTGTAAATACAATGAAAAAAAAGATACAAATATAAAAATTGTTAGTTATAGCAATTTGCAAATCTCTAAGTATTTTGGAAATCTATCAAATTTTGATAATCAAAAATCAAAAAAACTTTTACTACAATTTTATCTAAAAATAATATAATTGCTTTAAATAAATAAATTATTTGATTTAACTTTACAGAAGTTGTAAAAACAAAAAATATATTAACTTTGATAAAAAATTAATTTTAAACTACAAGAGATTAAAAAAACAAGGCTTTAAACAAAAGATTATAAAATATTAAAAAATATAAATTTAAAATTTCAAAAAAATCTATATATATATTTATATATATTAAAATAAATTAAAATTTAATGATTTTTTTTACATAAATTCATATATAAAATTTAGTGTCAACTTATAGCAACTGCAATGGAAACCCCTATATAGTGATAGGAATCGACTAAATGTTAGTCGACTAAGTCGACTAAAATCAACTAATCAACTAAATTTTATTAATCGACTACAAAGTAACAATAATGATAAACGAACATAAAATACGGTTTCGGTTGAGCAAATTTCTTAATAAATATCCTAAATATTTCGAAATCATATCCATAGAAGACATTTATACCAATAGTCAACCAACCTTCAGATTGGGATTGGTTGACTCAATAGATTCCCATCACTATTTAAATATATTATACGACTAGTCGACTAGTCATAAAATTAGTCGACTGATTAGTTGACTATAAAATTTCAGTCGATTCCTATCACTACCCCTATATAAGGACATGCTATATTAAATTAGTAATATATTAGATTTTCAAATTTGGTCGTAACATATATATAAAAATTAAAATTTAAATTTGGCGGCTAAAAATTTCATTTATTGGACTAGGTTGTCCGCACTGTAATACATATTCATCAATTTATTTAACTACGGGCACTTTTAAATTGAAAAATCTCATATTCATTTATGCTTTCGTCTCCTAGATCATAATCGGTGAATATAACTTTATCAAATCCGTACAATTCTTTAGATCCGGTTATAAATTAGTAGATTTATATTATAATATTATATTAATGAAGGCGTAAAAAAAATCGTTTTTACTTGCCATAATCATCAATGACCTCTCTGGACTTATAATCATCTGGATCAATCTCTGGAAATGGTAGTTCATCATATTTTATATTTTCAAACTCGTACGCAGTAACACTAGGTGGGTGTCGTAATGCATCCCAATCGAATTTAAGATCTTCATCCAATGGTTCGTAGGGTAGTTCTTTAAATGAAAATTACCAAATTTCTGTTATCCAAATATTTAACCTATCCCCTACTAGGATATATTAAACCGATTTTAATCGGTTTTAATATACGAAAAAATAAACCTGGTTCCAAACTCTAAAGTTTTTACAAACCTTCGATTGGAGATGGACAATATTCTATTTCGGGCACGTCATCTTCCTCTTTTAGTTTTAGCTCATTCTTAGCTTCATTTATTTCTTCGATTGTTCTAGTTTCGACATTATCTTTTAATGTAGATTTTTTCACTATTCGATCCCTTAACGTGCCTTTTGAATTTTTTTGTTGCTTTGTGACTGCTGGCGTGTCATGATATCCATCTTTATTAAGCTTGACTGTCTTAAGTTGGGGTGTTTTATTGGTTATGTCGCGCAACGCACTTACCGGCGTTCTCGCCTGCTGAGCCTTAAGTTGAGGAGTTTTATTGGTTTTGTTGCGCAACGCATTTACAGGCGTTCTCGCCTGCTGAGCCTTAAGTTGAGGTGTTTTATTGGTTTTGTCGCGCAACGCATTTACAGGCGTTCTCGCCTGCTGAGCCGTGACAACTGTCTTAAGTTGGGGAGTTTTATTGGTTATGTTACGCAACGCATTTTCTTTTCCATCAATAACCGTCTGACGTTGTTCCTGCTGTTTTAAAAGACGCGACATGGTAAGCTAGAACCTGTAAAAAAAAAAAAAATTCAGGTTCAAATATGTTTAAGTGCCAGTGTGGATTGACCAATCAAATTGCAAGATTTGAAAAGTTAACGATTTTTATTTTGATCTAAACTGTGAGGGATTATATTTGTGAGTTAGCATTAAAATGGAGTAGCTTGCTCCGGAGTAGAACCAACCCGTGGGAGCAACCTGAAGCAACTCGGTGTACTATTGAACTATGGAACAACCCGGAGCAAAACATTGGATTAAGTCTAATTTAGGCCGCTTGAAGTTGAAACTTCGTTTAACGTTATCCCCCCCCTCCATCTTCCGGGTTCCCCCCAAAAATTAAACAAATAGAAATGAAAATTTGATCGCCAGCATAGCAGTCGGGTTTTTTCGGTTTTACGTCCGGGATTTCTCGATATACTATGTTTAATTTTTATGTTTGTTTAATTTTCATCCCTCCCTCCCTTTATAAATACGAAAAAAAATAACGTTAAACGAGGTTTTAATTTCAAGTCGCCTTAGTGGAGTGGGTCAACCCATTAACAACCCTAGTTAGCAAAAGAGTCGCACAAATCCGGTGTGACTGACATATATATATATATACCAGGTTGGTGAAAAATAACTGAACAGAGACCTATTTTACTATCTCCGTTAATATTGAACTTCTATAATTATTTATTATATCTACGTAATACTGATATAAACGTTAAGTGATAATCAATAGTTTAAAAAAAGGTCACTGTTTAGTTACTTTTCACCAACCCGGTATATTAAATATATGTTAATAAAAAAAATATACACGTATATATTAATGAACTGTTTTTATCCTTTTAAGTAATAGTGCGTTTTTTTTTTATAAGTTACACTAATTAATGTTAAGGTAGTAAAAAAAATTGGTTTATTTTAAAGGGTGCTAAGAGGAATTCAATAAAATTTTTATTAACGGTAGATTTACGTAGTAGTTTGGAGATTGATATTTTATACGCTCTTTTACGTGAGAAAAATAGTTTGTAATTAATTTGTGATACCTTGGGATCTAAGATTTTCTACATCAAAATTTTACAAGGAAACTTTTAATTATTGTCCTTTGCCAAAAGATGTGGCTTCTACAACAGCAGAGACAGTGCCAATCACAAATTAAACTATTTATATTGGATTCAATTGTGATGGATATAATCTCTCATCAGTTTTAATATATGTGTGATTGGTTGTTTAAGTCAATTTAATTTTACATTATTTTATTATTAGTGTTGTAGGACTCCACTATTGAAAATGATCAAAATCCCTTTTTGTTTTAGAGAAGTTAGCATAGTAAT